AACTCCCCCTAGACTGACCGGCCGCTTAGGACATAGTCATGTGATCCATCATGAGAAACAACACTCACAAGTGAAGTCCAGCCAAGTTGACAGATCTTCAACTATCACAAGAACCATCACCCTCTCCATTTCCCCAGACAGATCAGTGTTGGCATGCACTCCCCTTTCTCCTCACTCACCACTGCCACTGCCCTGGCCCAGAGGAAACCCTAACTACCCCCAGCATCCACTCCTCTGACTGACATTGATAAACACAGAATAATCTTCATGAAGGACAATTCATAAACTTGAACCATTGTAATAGGAAATTTTCTTTGGTTCAAAGAATAAATTTATCTATATAAATGCTGTGAATAAATTATAAAACTGATATACTAAAAGATGTATGTATTAATGTGATACTTTTTTTTTTCCAGTTAAGTATTCATGAAAAGCCTCATCGGAGGTTCCATCCCTAATTCAAATCTTACCAAATAGTAATAATTTTGGGTGTTCTTTTTTTTCACCATTACTCTATGGACTAGCTACGTCTCTCTTAATAGCCTTTTGCTTTACCAAACACCTTGGCCGATAAACCAAACCACGCTGTTATGAACATTTCAGGGTACTAGTCTGTTATAGGGAGCTCTGGTAGCATACTGCCTAAGGCACTTGACTGCAAACCAGAAGGCTGGCAGTTCAAACTCACCAGCCACTCCTTGGAAGGAAGGTTGGGCAACCTACTTCCATAGTGATGCTGCCTTGGAGACCCAAGGAGGGGTCGCTGTGAGTCGGGTCTGACTCGACGGCACATAACAACAACAACAACAGTCTGTTACAGCACCTGACCATAGATATTGCTGATATACTTGATTGTATACATGTAAAGTGGGAAACTTATGCTTCTTAATATATAACGTTATATGACAGTTTGTCTGTTTTAACACTTACAGCTCCTGCAAAATCTTCCTTATTCTGAGAAGATGACCGTATTGTTTGTCTACAATGGTCCCCACATGCTGGAACCAAACAGATGGAATTTAAAGGCTTTCCAAAGGCGGCGGCGCCGTATCACATTCACTCAGCCTACCCAGTAAAAGCAAGGGGAGGGGACTTTGGAAATTTTCTGTGAAATTTTGTTCATAAGTACAGCTCAACTGAATAAAAGCTAGGATTTTCATTAAAACTGAAAGATCGGTGGTTTTTGGAAACCTGCTTTTAAATACAAGTGGGTTGATGAAATGGAGACCATAGTAACTTCTTTTTCTGGAACATTATCTGGTAGTAAAGTTGACATCTTTTTCAGTCATGGTTGGACATGAGTCCATAGTGCTCTGATTATGAGTCATTGATTCGTATGTTAAGAGGTGTTTATTGCAAATGAAAGGTACAGTGGGAAGGGCTTATTGGTCATAAGAAGTTTAGTTGACATGACAGCCCTGAGCTTTAATTGCAAAGTAACTTTTAATTACTTTTAGAGCCTAAAGATGACTCTAAAGCCTAAGTCATAGCTTTCTCCCAGTATTAGATTTAATTTTTAGAAAAATTGATAGATAAATTTCTAGTCTTAAGTGTATAGTAATAATTTATGATAAAACTCTTCATTTCTTTCTGTTGAAAAAGATAACCTTATCTCCACTAGGAAACAGAATTCTATGGGCATTTTAAAAAAGTTTTATGAAACTTGATCTTAAAATTGTTTTGATATTTCAATGGAAGAAGCAGCACTGGGTTTCAAAAAGGGTAGCTGGGCATCTTTGAAATGCCACAAGGTGGTGACAGATGGTACAAAGTGCAACCAAAACATTGACAGAGGATAGAATCAGGTGACAAGGGGTTTTAAAGAAGAGCCCTATGAAGCATGTGTGTGTGTATTTAATTTAAAGTCAATTGTATTTTACATCTTAAATTTCTAAAGCATTTTTATAATTATTTTTAGTAAAATTTTCCTGAAGATTTCATATACTGGTTTTTACAATTTATATTTGAAATTTCTCAGTGTTATGTAAAGAGTAAAGGGAAGCGTTGATTTGTTTAAAACCATGTCTTAAAACTGAACGTGTAGGTTCCATATGCTGTTGGTCCTACCCCATTGTCTTAGAAAATCTAATTCAAACTATTTTCTTTCAGCATGAAAGAATTAGATGAGAAAATCTTTTATTTCTGAGTTATACTAATTAACAGTGCCAAATTCTATTCCTTTTAAAAATAAATCTTGTAAAAAGACTAGTCCAAGGACATGTCTTTGAATTGCATATCAGATCTGTACTGGTAATGACAAGTATTTTGTTTTTGACTTTGCAGCCTGAATGACTCAAAGAATTGTACTCAGTTCAGTTTTTGTATATTCTGAAATTTATATTCTTATTATATCAAAAAATAATGAATGATAGGTTTGGCTTCTCACTTAGACATTTTTTCTTTCCAAAAATATTTTTTCTTTTATAAAAATTTTAAAAGAAAGGGCATTCCCTCTTAAACAAAATGGGCAAACTATAAAAATGTTTTAAAGTAACGTTTTTACTAGTGTGAACAAGTCATATAAACACTGAAAAACTTGGTAACATATTATTAAATGGACATTGTTACTAAATGTTTCTGTTGTTAAATACTTTGTTTTCCACCAAAATATCTTTACTAATATGTGCTTGGTGAATATGTGATAACTTAGTGCCATTCATCTTGTTCTTAAAAAATGAATATCAATGTGAAAAAAAAGCTTGAAAATGAGGCTTGTTTGAAACTAAGATGGTCAAATTACATTATAATTTACATATGCAATTATTCCATACTTTCTGTTACTCTACTAAATAGTTAATATTTGATTTTACATTGAATTTTGAGCTGTCATTTTAACATTAAAAGAATAAGTCTAACAGTACAGTCTCAGCCACTTAAAACTTCGTATATTTTCTGCAAAGGTTAAGTTTTAATTATATACGAAGTAAAAGCTCCAAGTAAAAGGCTGATTTGATTAATAAAATGTCAATTAAAACCTTAAGGTGATAAGCAAGTGTTTTTGATGACTAAATCTTCATTGATTTCCTTAGGGGGAGAGAGTCTGTTAATTTCTATATTTAAAGTAAAAGGAGTTCTTGCTGCTTTCCAATTGTCTTTTGGATGTGTGTGTGTTTTCTTTGGAATATGAACCTTCAGTATGTGAAATATTTGTACTTTCTCCTGCTGTTGCGTGTGTGTGTGTGCGCGCAGTGTGCATGTGTGTGCACCCATGTAACTGGGAAAAAATGCCTTGGGCTGGGAATTGCTACTTTGTTGGTAATAAATACATATTTTCACATTCTTTGGGTGTATGTTATTGTAAATGAGAACTACTTTAACCTTTCAACCTTCTTAAGAGACATTTTTCTATTCAGATTGGGAAGGGGTACAAGTCTGTTGGTTAAGTCCAGCATTTACGGAACATTGTTCAGCAGTTTTATCAGTGTTCAGAAGGATGAAAAACTTAGTCCCTTGCCTGCCTGCAAGGAAATTAGAGTTTAATAGAAACTGTAAACACACATGAAAGAAGGTTTAGACCAAACTAATACTAAAGAAACCAAACTACAAGGCAAGTATAACTTTTTAGGTTGAAACCCTAGATTTGCTAAAAACATGCCCAATAACCCATTTTGTCTTGTTATTTGTAACATGAAACTATCTAAAGTAATTTAAATATATATATATATATATAT